AGTTTTACCTAAATTTTCTCACTGCATAATATGCTCTTGTTCTTTTCATTCTATTAATTCTATATCCTCACTACCTGCTATTTTATTGCTAAACCATTTCTTAGTCTCTCTTTTGTCAGTGCTGCAACCTACTTCAAAATTTCTTGGTTACCAATTTCTTTGTTAGAGTAGGCAACACTGCAGGACAAATTATACCCAAAACATAATGGCTCAAAACTATAGAATTTAGTTTCCTGCTCATATAACTTTCTCTTAACATTATAGGATATCAGGGTTAAGATTGGGAGACTTGTTTTACAGTTACTCACTGTACAAAGACGATGGCAGCTCTGTTATCTTCAACATGTGATTTTAAAGCTATCCCAGGGATCATTATTCCAACAGCAGAAAGGGAAAAAGTCCTGAAGGAACACACAGGGAGGATTCATAGCTGGGTTTAGAGGTGAGACATCACTTTCTGCTTCCATTTGGCTGAAGTTCAGGCACATGACCACATCTAATTACAGGGAAGGTTGGGAAATGTTGTCTAGCTGGACCGAGGCAAATGGATTTTCCTCTGACATCCTAGGGTTCCTGATATACATTGAATTCTTTTGACATCTAAACTGCTCTTCTCACTTTTGGAGTTCACCATGAAATTTGACATTCATTCAAAATGACTCTTTAGCATAAATATTTCCATAAAGTTACTTGTATCTATATGAGTGATTTTCTGAATATTTTTGAATTTCTTAAGCTCACTATTTAATGATATGATTCTTCAGTGGCAACTTGGGATTGTCAGGCACCTAGGTGATATTCTGAAGCTCCATTAATTTGGTATTGCTACATCCATATTGTTTGTAACTGGCAGTGATGGATGACATCACAGTAGAACATGACACTTGTGGAGAGCTACCCTCAGAAGGTTGTCATTATGAAGTAAACATTACCCAGCAGGACTCTAAATAAGTGAAATAAGAAGTACCTAACCAAGGTGAGATTATTTTTCATCCTTGCGAATAGACTCAGCAAGGTCCTATGTACTCAGTTAGGTTAACAGGAATGGTTAGCTACATGGTGTTTCTTTATGTTGTCATGTCATCCTGGCTTAAGGTGTAATTTTATTTCATTTACCAAACAGTTGATATTTTAATTTACACATGAATAAAGATGAATGGTGTATCTTTTGCTCTTGGGCTGCCCACAATATTGAGGAGAGGGAGTAGATTAAATAGACTTACTGAGTAAGTGGCAGGAATATATAGCCTGCTAGACAGCATAGATTTGTGATATCCCTGCACAATGTTCATTGCCCTGGGAGTGGGAGCACAGAAAGAAGACAGGGGGAATTACTCATTACGTACAAATCAAAATAGAAATGTTAGAAATTGTGAACATTGTGTAAAGAATATGGGTGTCAGCTTTGGATCTGATTGAGTTGGAATCCCAGCTCTGCTACTAATGAGATGCTTGTTCTTAGCCAGGTTATTTTAGCTCTCTGAGCCTCATCTGAACAAGGAAAATACTAATGTAAGAAGGACAGTTTACATATATGTATATATGTAATCTATCTTTTTCAATATCTATATTTTGCATAGTCAGTTTCAAGCATATAATAAGTTTACAATACTTACTACTTTTTATTAAATGTTAAGTTTTTCAAAATTAGGATCCAGGCAGAAAATGGAAGTAAGTGAGTTCCAAATGATAACCATATATTGAGAAACCAGGAGGACTAAAGGAGCTTAGTGAAATTAAAGAGGATGTTTAATAGAGGGAGGAGAAGGGGGAAATTTAGAAAGAAAACAGGGTCTGAGAAGAGGGTTCTAAAGCCTCAGATGTGAAATGAAGGTATTTTATGGGATGACTATATCTAAGGGAATGGTCTTCTGATGACTGGCTTAAGTGATGCTGGTGGGTCATGGGAAGTGATATTGTTGAAAAACCATAAAACCAGGACGCAATTGGGGTAAAAACAAGGGGGCTAAGGTGGTGCAGAATGTGTGTGGGATGCAGTAGGGTCTTTAACTTGCTGCTGAAGCTGGTAGCATGTCCTAGAGGTTGATTTCTGGTTTAGGTGAAAAAATAGAATATAATACATGACTATTAAGAGGAGGGAATGATTAAATAAAGACAGTAGCAGAAGGATCTGTATGTGGTTGAGGGAATGGGCAAAATTTACTGGAGATATTCAGTTTATAGTATGTGAGATAAAGGATAGTTTTTATAGGAAAGGTTGTGTATGTTCTTGTGAAGAAGTCATATTGAGTTTATGATTCAAGGGAAAACCCCAAGACAGAAGGAGACTTGTTCAAAATAGGGACTCTATTTATATGGTGTCTGGTCTAGTTTTAGGCAGGGGACTGCAATCTGTTGACTCTACCACTTATTCTTTGTTTCCTATTTTTCTTTTGTACTGCTCAGGATCCTATCCAAGAAAAGAAACCATTCTTTCAAGTAGAAAGGGAGTTGATAAGATAATCACATGCCTGCAAAGCATTGGAAGGAATGACTGAAGGAATGGAAGGTAGATGGCATCCACTATCCATTGGCCTTTAAGGTTGTATGGTTATACTTGTGACTCAGAGATTACAAAGCTACCTGCCGCTACCTCTGCAGCCAAATTGCCTTACACCTGTGCATCAGTAGTCAGCCAAAGCAGCCAGAAAATGGCTGCTGCCCTACTTCCTCCTTCTGAATCTCATGTGAATGTATCCCACCGGCTCAAATCCAGTCACATTCAGAACACTAGATGTGTCTTAAAAATATAAGTTCTAGTTTTTCCTCTTCTGACTTTTAAGAACTTACATATAAATTATTGGGAATTAAAGACAAATGACAATAAAGCATATTAAATACATTCCTTATGTCTTTGTCTTTTTGTGTGTGTTGTCATCCAGCTGAGATTACATAGTTTATTGCTATAATGTTTTCCTTGAATGTCCTTGCTCAGTGCTTAGAAGGCTTGATTAGGCTTGATTCTACAGGAAGAAATAAATTTTGAAAAATAGCCCAGGTAATGGGCTCAGAAAGAAATTTCTTAAAAGACAATACAGTGAAACTCTGTGTCCTAATGCACCTTTCCCCACCATGTCTAAAACAGTTTACAGGTAGTCCTGGGTCCTCTGATCTGGAGGACTCTTTAGCCCACATTGGCTGTTGAGACCTCCAAAATCTGGGTGTGCCTACATGATAAAGAGTAAAGTACCAGGAAGCCACACCATTCCCTCACTCACACCACATTTTTGTGATGTCTGCATGTTGTTTTCCCTGCTTGTTCACATGTTTGATAATACTCCAAAGTCAAAGTACACTCAGTCAAGTATGAGTTGTCACCAAAAAAAATTTGTACTTTTCCCATAGCAGCTTGTGGTGACCTCTGAAAATAGTTCGCTATCCACTTGAGCCAGAAAACTCCATGAAATCATGCAGCTCCAGAGGTTCAAATATTTGTGTTCACTTTAAAAACAACCATAAAACTTTTCAGGCCATCAAGTGGATGAGAGCCTGAAAAGCCACCAAGTATTTGAAGGATGTCCCTTTCCGGAAGCAGTGTGTGCCATTTCATTGTCACAATAGTGGAGATAGTAGGTATGTCCAGGCCAAACAATGGGGCTGGATGCAGGGTTGGTGGCCCCAAGACAGTGCTGAATTTTTGCTGCACATGCTTGAACATGCAGAGTAATGGTGAACTTATGGGTTTAGATATAGATTCTTCTCTGGTCATTGAGCAAATCCAGGTGAACTAAGCTCTCCAGATGCAACACAAGAATGTGCAGAGCTCATGGGCAGATCAACCCACACATGAGCCCTCCCTACCACATTGAGATGATCCTACTGAAAAAAAGCAGATTGTTCTTAAACTAGAAGAGAAGATTGCACAGAAGAAAAATATATCCCAGAAGAAACTAAAGAAACAAAAAACATATGGCCTGGAAGTAAATTCAGCATAAAATAAATGTTAATAAAAGGGAAAGCAGAACAAAAGAAACATTTTAAAATTTTCACCAGCCATTGTAGTATGGCTCAGCTCATGTATAACCATAATTCTTAGAGCGGATTCTCTTTCTATTTTTCTGTCATTCTTTCCTGGCAAAATTGGGATCTTGGTTAAATTCAGTCCTTCTGTTTATTCTGCTCTTGCATATATCCTGCCTGCTCAGCTCAGTACATCTACTTAAAAGTGTGTCTCTTCAAAATTTTTTAGGCTGTGCTTTTCAAGAATTCCATCCCATGGTTACCTAATCAATCATTAAAATAGGTATTCCTGCAGAGGGACTTCCCAGGTGTTATTAAATATAGATAATTAAACAGATTACTCTGGATTATTTTGGTAGGCTCAATATAATCATCTAAAGTCCTTGAAAGTAGATACATTTCTGCATCTGGAGTCAGAGAGATGTGGTGAAAAACTGTCAGGCAGAAGGGGTGTGCAGGGGAAATGAATGAGCCTTGAAACATTCTTCCCTAGAGCCTCCATAAAAGAGTGCAGCCCTGCCAATACCTTGATTTCAGCCTTGTGAGACTCCCAGCAGAGGAACTAGCTGAGCCATACTATTGTGTGGCCTTCTGATTCACAGCACTGTGAGATAATGCATTTGTGTTAAGATGCTAAATTTGTGGTAATATATGATGGCAGTACTGAAAAATAATACTGAAGTTAAATAGAGACCTCAAGACCTCACACTTAACATATCCAATGCAGAACTTAGGGTATTTCAAATCCTTGCACACTGAGTCTTCTCGGGTCTTTTCTTTCTCATTAAATAATACCACTATTCACATACTTGCATGAGCCCCACGTAGAATTATTTCCATATTATTTTTCTTTCTTTTTTTTTTCCTAATTGTATGATGGGTTCTGTTACTCCTACTTGTTGGCTACCTTCTTGTACATGCCCCGACCAGGGACTGAACCCACAACCTGGGTATGTGCTCCAACCAGGAATCCAAACCTCGACCTTTTGGTCCATGGGACAATATTCCAACCAACTGAACCATGCACTATAGGCCAGGACTATTGCTCAACTCTTTATTTTCACTTTGTTAGCTGAATGTTTATGTGAGTTGTTTTGGTTTCTCTCTAAGATTGTTTCCCCACAGAGCTCACAGATACTGGAATATCCCCATCCTCAGCCCCAATTGGGCAATAATTTATCAAGAAAGCTTTTGGTTGCATTTTTGGTAGTAGAAGTAGTTGCAGGGCTGGTGGATCCTGTTTTGGTGGTGGCCGGGTTTTCTGGGGCTGTGGTAGAGCTTGTTTTAGAAGCTTCTATTTGGGGTGCAGGGGTTAAGAAGCCAGGATTCACAGGAGGGTATCCAGGGAATTGTATAGGTTCAGGCAGATATGGTTGGAAAGGTGGATATGGATAACCTGGGCCATAAGGGGGAGGAAGAGGAGGTGGTGGAAACCTCCCTGGGCCATAAGGGGGAGGAGGAGGAGGTGGTGGAAACCTCCCTGGGCCAAAAGGAGGAGGAGGAGGAGGTGGTGGAAACCTCCCTGGGCCAAAAGGGGGAGGGGGAGGGGGAGGGACAAATCCTGGGCCCAAAGGAAAAGGTTGTGGAGGAAAAGGGGGTGGCAGTGGTGGTGGATATGGTCTCCTGGGGCCTCTTTGACTTTCACCAGGCTGTGGGGAAAAAAGAAGTAAACAATTTTAAATGAGATATTTCAGTGTCAAGCACAACAACTTACATTCTCTGTGGCAGGCAGAATTCTGAGATGGCTTTCAAGATCCCTGTTTCCTGCTGGCACATGCTGGCCTGACCATATCAGGTGAGCTTTTTAAAATAGGTTCTACAGGTCAGAGACAGAAGAAGCCAGAGACACTTGAAGCTGCAGTGAGTACTCTTCTCTTGGCTTTGGAGCCATGAGCCATGTTGTGGAGAGGAACTCATGGCAGTAAATGGTAGATGGGCAAGAGGAGCTAGGAATGGTTGCTGGCTCACAGTCAGCAAGGAATAAGGACCTCAGTTCTACAAACAAGGGACCCCAATCTTACAATACTCATACAAGCCTGAAAGAGGATCTGGGGCTCCAGAGAGGAAACATACTGCTGGCAACACTTTTTCAGCCTTGTCAGACCCTGAGCAGAGAATCTAACTTAGCCAAGGTCAGAATTCTGACCAAAGAATCTGTGAGATAAGACATTGATTTTCAAAGCTACTATTTTGTGGAAATTTGTTATGCAGCAAAAGAAAATATTTTATGTATCTAAGTCACACAGTTTGAAAGTCTATATTAGAGAAGAGGAAGAGTTTTTCTTTTGCTCTGTGAAAGCTAGGGTAGTATTGAATGGAAAAAAATTGTGAGCTAAATCATATCTTTTGCTTTTAGTAGAGACTATCATTGGCATCAATTTCAAATGGAGAAAATTCCTCATATCTCATTCAAAAGTTCAGGATTGTTTCAGACTTTGAAACTAGTAAGTTGTCAAACATATTATTGAGCATCTACTTTGTGCAATCAATATGCTGAAGTAGGAGCTATAGGGGTACAAACATGCCATATGTGAGTCTACAGGTCCAGTAGCTACCATACTAGAACGTACAAAAATGGCCCGAAGAGAGGCAGTTTCCAACCTCTGCTATTTAGAGATTGTGTGAATATGAAATACTTTTTGCGCCTCTCTCTCACTGTATCTGGCAAATGACAGTCATAAAAGTACCCATGTCCTAGGGTCATTGTCAGATTTGTTGTGAAACATTAGTAAAGTGCTTAGGGCAGTGCTTGGCTTCAGTGCAGTGCTCAGGAAATTTTATATACTACTATTTGTTATAACACCTAGGATAGTGCTTACAATTTTTGGAAATAAAAATAGTGGAAAAATAGTGCAGGAAACAAATACATTAGAGATTTAGAGTGACTAGTTTTGAGGAGAGGAAACATTGTCTTGCTGAGGAGGCAGCATTTGAAAGGGGGCTTAAATAATATAAACTGTGGAGAGGGCATGTCAAGTGGAGGGAGAGTATGTAAACGTTCCAGGGTAGGAAAACACAAGTCCTAGTCTCCTATATAGGACACACAACTGAATTTCCTTCCTACTGTCCCCCGGTCCTTCACCTACTTATCTGACATGGCCAGTTCCAAACTGTGGGATCCCCCTAAATCAGTCCTTTTCTTGATTTCTACTTGCAGGTCCTTAACCAGGGATGGCAGATGCCAAAGCCCTGTTCTGTTACAAATGTATGATCCTACAGCACCGCCCTGCATTCCCTTCAAATGCCTTAGATTTGTGTTATCCCATTCCCCAGAAGCCTATACTTTTCTAAGTTGACGTCAGTTTTATTAAAGTTCTCTACCTCTTTTTTAGCCCTCACCCAGCCCACTAAGCTGATTTTTCTCCTGTTTTTCCAAAGTAATGCAAGCAATTAGAAATGAATTTTATCAGTTTACTGGCCACATACTATAAAGTCATAGATATCTAGATATTTCCTTTTTCTTTAGAAGTATTTTTTTCAGGGTTCTGTCGGTTTTTCCTTATTATGCCTGAACTTCAATATGTGCCTTTTAACTGGTTTTCTCAGAAGATAACTATTACCTATGTTCCACTTTTAAGCAAGATCCATTTTTAGCCATGCATTTCCTTGTTAGCACTTTCTCTTCACCTCTTTTTTTGACAGTGACATTCTCTGAAAGGGTAGTCTAGGTTTGCTGAGACTCATCCCACTTCTCATATGTTAGTCACTCTTCAAAATGACTCCTGTCCTCAGCATGCTAGTAAAACACTTTTTTGGTGTCACCAATAAAACAAAAACTGCCAAATCACAGCTGTAGAACCGGTTATGTCAGCCCTCCCTACTCAGTGATAGCTTATTGAGTTATGGAGGAGGACGTTTGACCCAAGGGCTGACAATTCAAAGGCTAAATTGGGGTGTTTGAAAAGTTCAGGACTTGATTTTTAATTGGCAAAAACCCCAAATCCTTAGTGCAGAAAAATATTTCACATTATTTTCACTGTTGAGACAATGACTTTGCTGAAAGTACCCTTGTCTCCTAAGCCTATCCTGATTATCGATCTAAAAGTTATGTCTAATGCAAAAAACCTTCATAGTAAATATCTGTTCTTTTCCTAATCATTTAATCCAGCCACAGTGATTAGTTTCCTTTCCACAACTGGACAGTGGTAATGAACTTGGTAAAAATGATGAAGATACTATGTTAGAAAGAAAAATTGCCCTCTCAGGGGACTATAATGAAGCTAATCTGCTGCACTACTTGGCTTAAGAACAATTCAGCCAGGATATGAATATTTAGAATCTTAACTAATTTATCTTTAATGGGATTAATAGTAGTCTGTTTCAGGCTTTCTTCGAGGTTTAAATGATATAATGTCTGTAAAGCATTTAGAAAATTACCTGTCACATTATAAACACTCAAAAGATAACTGGATCAATATTACTACTTACCTGCCCATAATATTAATTATTAATCATCATGAATCTCGTACAATTAAGTTGGGGAAAGGTTCATTTCTATTTGAACTGCTTATATTATTGGAATTCTGGAATTTATTTTGCAAAAACCCCCCATTGTTTGGCTAATCAATGACTGATTCTCTAAAACAAGAAAGTGTTTCATAGTCTGAGGACATGAAAATATTAAATATAAACTTTAAGATAAGATAAGTAAGCCACAATATTACCTTTTTAACATGTCAATATATTTTATTGGTTTATCAAAAATCATATCACATCTATAATGTACTTAGTAATATGGCCAAGGTCTGACTGCTTGAGAGACCAATCAAATAGCTCCTTTATTCAAGTTTTTGAGAGCAGATAAAAGAATTCTTTTGTGTCTCATAATGATATAATTTTATGTTTCCTGCTTTTGTAAGTCCTAGTCTCTTCTGAAAAAAAGTTTTTAAAAAAATCTTTTTCATTTGATATTAATAGATTTTACAGTTCTTTGGTAGAAATTACTCTGAAATTAATCTCCTTTTTCCAAAACTGGAATTAATCTATTCCTACTTTAAATCTGATTATTATTCCACTACTTATAGAACCCCAAAACTTGTGGCTTTTTTAATCCCTTGAAACTTTGGATATTCTTTGAATATTTAGAAGCTTCTGTGGTGCTCAACCTAGTTCTTTACGCATGGTAGGTGTTGATTGATATAAATGTTTATAATTTATCAAAAGTTGCCTGAATCCTTGTAGAAATGTACATTTCTGGGTCCTACTATTGCACACTCATTCATTCTGGAATAAGGCTTGGCTTACTATATTTTAAATAAGTGAGTCAGGTTACTCTGATGTAGATGATTCATGAATCTTACGTTGGTAAAATGTTTCTATTTTAACTATGCCATTTATATAGATGAGGCAATAAAATCCCAATAAAATTAAAGAATATGTTCAAATATGTTTTAAAAAGTCATTAATATATTGGATCAAAAATTTGCAATAATTTATTCTCCCTACTTGTGAAATTGCTAATGGATGGGTACCCATATTTATATGTGTCTGTATAGTGCAGTCTGATATTATAAAATTAAATGGTCCAATATGGTAGCCATGACCTATGTGTGGAAATTTAAATTAAATTAAATTTATAACTTAAATTGAAATTAAAGCAGTAGAACAAAGTTTCATGAATGATTAATAGCTACTAATACATATGGAATAGTAATATCATTAATGTAAAAAATATGACTAATAGTTGTGAGAAAAACATGAAGATGTGATTAGTGAGACTTACCGAGAAACAGGCTTCCAGAGCCAGAAGGCCCAAGATTAGGTACAGTGATTTCATTCTTATTGTTACTCCTGAAAATAAGCACAATGACAGATCAATATTCCTTCTTTTTTTGAAAGTGTCCCAACCACTGCTATTTGATGTAGTATAGAAATAGCACTGGAACATTTTAAGAAAATTGTCTAATTTTATTTTGGACTTCAAATTAATATGGAGCAATACTGTTAGGCTCATGACATGGAACTATGAAATGATGAAACTGGTTTTCACTTTTGACTTGTAAGCTAAACACTGGAGATAATGGCAAAGAGTTGTTCATAAAATGTTTTATTTGACAGAAGCTTTTATGAGTAAGATTTTTACTCTCTGATTTTTATCATGTAAGCTGATTCTTTTCTTTTCTTTATTATTGTGATGTCCCAAGAAATAAAATTTTTATTTATTTATTTATTTTTATTGAACTTATTGGGATTATCTTAGTTAATAAAATTATATATGTTGGTGTACAATTCCATAATATGTCATCTGTGTGTTGTACTGTGTGTTCATCACCCTAAGTTATGTCTCTTTCTATCACCATTTTCCCCCCTTTACCCTCTCTTGCCTTCCCACACCCCAATTTCCCTCTGGTAATGTCCATACTGTTGTCTATGAGGTTTTTTGTTTGTTTGTTTGTTTGTTTTTTTAACCCCTTCACCAAGAAATAAAATTTAAAACATAGATTAAGTTATATTAGTACCTCAAATACAAATCTACAAAGAAATGTAATCCCTATTATGAAATATCAAGATGTTCAAATCCAAATAAGGGTCCATTTCAAAGACACTTGACCCTTGAACAAAACAGGTTTAAACTGCAAGTGTCGACTTATATGCAGATTTTTATCCAGTAAATATACAGTAGGCACTCCATATCCCCGGTTTTGCATCTGCACATTCAACCAATTGCAGATTAAAAACTGTTTTTGATCTTCTCATTGGGAATCTGGGGGGTACAGAAGAACAACTGTATGCATTGTTCTATACCATACTCTGTATAAGGGACTTGAACAGTGTACAGGAGGGTCCTGGAATCAATCCCCGTGTAGATGTCGAGGGATGACTTGTGAGCCAAAAATTATACTCAGATTTTCTACTGTGGGGGGTCGGTGCCCCTAACCCCTATATTGTTCATGGCTCAACTGTAGGTTAAAGAAAAATTATCATGTAATATATATCCTAGTTATAACAACATTCTACTAAGTTACTTTATTCCATGATAAACAATCTCAGGCTACTTCCAAAAATACATATAATGTACATCAAAGACCAAGGGCAGAAAATACAATATGTTCAGCTTTTATACTCTCAGTTGGCTTCAAATTTACAATATATTTCAAGTACGTGATTGCTCCTGTTCTGGGAAAGCAGTGCATGCAACTTTGTGAAGACTGGCTTTCTGGTAGTCAACTCTGCCCTTCAGTTGAGTGTGTTGACTGAACAATTCAAGTCTTGAAAGAATCTTAGGGACAAATTTCACTGAATATTAAATTATATATGTATATAGATATTTCTTTAAGTATTACTTTTCCTATGACACATTCTTGTGTAAAGTTTTAAAAAACAAAGACAAAACTAATAATAAAAATATAGTGTAGAACAATTCAGTTCTCTTAGAGTATATTTGATAGTGCTCTGGTCATTATGAAGCTCAAAAAAAAAAGAGGTACATGGGGGAAGAACTAATTGATTGTGTAATTGGACGGATTAATTGTCCTAAGTGTCCACACAAATGCTTTTCTCTGACATATAGAATTTCAACAAATTTAATCCATTTTATGGCTTACCAAATTTCATTTAAAGCATGTATTCTTTTTAGTGAAAAATGAATCTTCTCTAAAAGCCCATGAAAATGATATCTTTAAAAGTTTCAGAACAAAACACAATGGTACTAGCATATAAACAGACATATAGATCAATGAAATAGAATAGAGACTCCAGAAATAAATGCATTCCTTTATGGTTAATTAATATTTGACAAAAGGGGCAATAACATACAATGTGGTAAAGACAGTCTATTCAATAAATGGTGTTGGGAAAGTAGAATAAGTGTGTGCAAAAAATGAAATCAGATCATTTTTTCACCATTCTCAAGAATGAACTCTAAATGGATTAAAGATTAAATATAAGATTTGAAATCTTAAAAATCCCAGTAGAAAACACAGACAGTAAAATCTCAGACATTTATCATAGCAATATTTTTTCTAATATACCTTCTCAGGCAAGGGGAACAAAAGAAAAAATAAACAATGGGACTACAACTAACTAAAAAATTTTGTACAGCAAAGGGAACCATCAACAAAACAAAAGGACAACATATTCACCAAGGATATATATGATAAGGGGTTAATATCTAAAATTTATAAAGAACTTAAAAACTCAACACAAAAAACCCCATGACGACAATAAACAATACAATTTAAAAAATGGGCAAAGGACCTGAATGGACACTTCTCCTAAGACAGCCAATAGGTATATGAAAAGTTTCTTGACATTGTTAATCATCAAAGAAATTACAACCACAATGAAATACCACTTCACACTTGCCAGAATGGTTATCATTAATAAAGCAACAAACAACAAATCTTGGCGAGGATGTGGTGAAAGGAAACCCTTGTGCACTATTGGTCAGAATGCAGATTGGTGTAGTCACTGCAGAAAACAGTATGGAGTTTCCTAAAAAAATTAAAAATGGAACTGCCTTATGACCCAGAAATTCCACTTCTGGGAAAATATCCAAAGAAACTCAAAACACAAATTCAAAAAAGTATATGAACTCCTTGTTTGTTGCAGTGTTATTTACTGTTGCCAAAATTGGAAGCAGCCTAAATGGCCATTAACAGGTGAATGGATCAGAAAGCGGTGATACATTTGCCCTGTGGAATACTACTCTACTGTAAAAAAGAAGGAAATCTGACTTTTTGCAACAGCATGGATTGACCTGGAGAGTATTATGCTAAGTGAAATAAGCCACTCAGAGAAAGAGAAATACCCTATTATTTCACTCATGTGTGTAATCTAATGAACAGAATACACAAACAAAGTAGAAATAGACCCATAGATACAGAGAACAGGCGGACAGCTGTTAGAAGAGAAAGGGGTTGGGGGGCTGGGGGTAAAAGGTGATGGGATTAAGCCAAAAAAAAAACCCTCATAGAAACAGACAACAGTATGATGATTACCAGAGGGAAAGGGGGATGGGGGAAGCTAGAAAAGAATAAAAGGTGGTAAATGGTGATGGAAGGAGACCTGACAGCAAGTGGGGAACACATCTTACAATACACAGATGATATATTATGGAATTATGTAGAATTATGATAGAATGATGTACAATTGAAATGTACAAAAGTATGTTAACCAATGCCATCCTAATAAATTCAAAATTTTTTTAAAAAAATGAATCTCAGAAAAGTTTAGTATTCATAGTAAAAATTCTTCATTTCATGTTTCCATGTACCTACCTTGAGTGAGTATCCTTTTCAGGGCTGAGTAGTCTGCTGGTTAAAATGTCTCCTGCAAGTTATTTTTCCAAAGATGACAAAAACAGGTGAGAAATAACAAGAAACCTCGGCTCTTATATATATTGCAATGGATTTCTAGTGATAATAAGGAAAGGCTGGTTGGGAGATGTAAACTTCTAGGTTGGTGTCATTTAAACAAAGATAGAAAAGTGCCATTGCCAACTTGGCAATCTTTTTCTACAGAGTTATTTTTTTTTAATTTCTGAGGAGCTTTGACCCATTCAATATTTTATGTTTCCTGAGGAAACATATATTATATAATAAATCATAATGTCCTTTTGTTTCAATAAAATAATCTGGAGCTTGTGGTGCACTGTTGCTTCTTTATTTTAAAGAAAAGCTCAAGCTGTCCTATTTCGAATAATTGTAATAGGTCATCTTTTGTTATATGTTACTATTACTATATATTTTATTTTAGCTAAAAGTTAACTACATTATGTGAGAAATTTCAATGCCAAATAATTTTAAAATTAAACTCTATTACAATATAGATATAATTTAGGGGGATGAAACCTAGAATGAAAAGCAGAAGTTGTTATTAAATCAGTGTTGCTAAATACCACATACAGGATACTGTGGGCAGTTATGTACAGAGGTAGTTCAAATATATTGCTTGAGTTTTGGACCACTGTGGTATATCTTTTGGATTTAATGTTTCAATTCTTTTTTTTAGTTGAAGTAATAACATTGTATTACTATTTTATTCTTAGGTATCTGGTAATCTATGTATTATTTCTCCCTTTTATGTAAAATTAGCATAGTTGAGTAAATGTTTTTGAGGGATGACAAAAATGAGTGCTTGGATTAAAATTTGATCTAAATTTTGGAAATAACAAGAAAGAAAAACCTAGTGTTAGAAGAGTCAGAGATGCATGCAGTTCCTTAATCTTAACCATATTCCAATTTTATGTGTCTGTGATTGTTTCAAAATGTGTAGATTATTTAAAAGATATTTAAATGGGCATTTTTTCAAAGGAAGTTTCCTTTGCCAGTGAAGAACTAAAACAGTGGTCTGACATTGTGTTTTAGAAAGTCACATGTTGTTGCCATAATTAACTTGAGAAATTTAATTAAACAAAAAAGTAACAATGTAAAATTTTCAATTATGGGAACATTATATGGATATATTTTTACTTTGAAGTGTATATCTATGGGAAAGTCAAAGTTTTATATTTTTAATGAACCCAGGCTTTGAGGGTTTTCTTATTCTAGATGATTCGATAATCTCTAGTTTTTAGAAAATATTACATAATAATATTTGCTATTATTTAAAAAGCTTTTTACCATTTACCTCATGGCTACATGAAATGAGTTTTGTTATTATCTCCATCTTACACAGAGATACTAATGAACCTAAATCTGCTCACTTTTAGACCTGAATACTGAGTTAAACAGTATTCCAGGCTGCCTCCTATAAAAGCCTGTTAGAGAAAGACAAGTACCCTATGATTTGACTCATAAGTGTAATCTAATAAACAAACTGAACTAACAAGTAAAACTGAGACAGATTCATAGATGGAGCACAGGTGACAGCTAGTGGGGGTGGAAGGAGAGAGCAAAAAGGAAATCTTGTGTGTGGTGATTGCTGGGGAGGAGGGGTGGAGGGGTTATACGGGGGTTACATGGTAATGGAAAAAAATACAAAAGATGAAGCTGGACTCCAGTAAATATAATCATTTATCAAACAATGGATAAACACACAAGATATTCTAATATAAATATATGTACAGAGAGAATAAGACATTGTATGCTTCTTAATAAAAGAAAACACCAGATATAAAATATGTCCTGAAAAAACCCAACCTCTAAACACAATCAAGTCTTTAGATCCAATTACTATTTTATAGAACAAACAGAGGACAAAGGAACTTGAACTACACCATGGGAATGCAATTCACAAAATCCATATGGTGAGAAACTCTACAGAACAAATGACCTGGTTTCTTCAACACATTGCAAAGAGGAAGAAAGATGGATGGGTAACTGATAGATTAAAAAAAATTTTAAAGATCAACTAATCAGAATGTGTAGATCTTATTTGGTTCCTAATTCACATGTATTATACAGTTTGTACAACAACAGGTTATTTGATATTATTAAGGGAATTAATGCATAAGTGAAATAATTGTATTCTCATTATGTTATAAACAAGAGTCATGTTTTTTAAGAGATACATTTTTAAATAGTCATAGATAAAATATGATTCCTGGGGCTTGCTTAAATATACTCTGGGAGGGGGTTAGTGAATTGAAGTATGGATGAAGCATGATGGATTCATTATTATTGGGGCTACGTACTGGGTACATAGATACTCATTATACAATTCAATCTATTTTCTGTACGTTTTAAATTCCCCATAACACAAGTTTCAAAAAAATAAAATGTATCCATCATTTAAAAAATAAATAACCTTCATAAACAACTAACATTATATGTTAGTATGCTGCAGAGATTAAGGTGAATTTAGAGACAGGTTATTTTTTTCAAAGAGCTTATTTGCTGGGTGATATCAGATTAACTATTTCAACTCATTGTGCATCAGTATCTTCATTGAAAATGTGGACATTTATAATTTCCATGTCATGGAGTTTAGCTATTCTGTAGTTCATTTGTCCACCCATTCAACATTTATTTAATGCCCACTGGGTGTCAGGTATACTTGTCAAAGTCACAGAATATTTAAATGTTCGGTGTGCTAAAAATATTTTGGGAGTCACAGATGGTGTTGGAACAAAGAAACTACATTTTGAGGGTTAATCTTTGTTTTAAATTACCGTACCTAATTTAAAAATTCATTTGCTTTGTTACGTTTTTGTTGCCTTAAAAAATTCTGATGACACAATCAATTCTAATACACTGTATTAACTGGTTTGTTAAACTTAGGGCTTAATCAGTTACTGAAGAATTAACATGTCATTATGGTGAAGATGATTTTATGTCTGAGTTAATATGGAAAGTTCAACAAACTACTCTTTTCTCTGAGAATAATTCATGTTGTGAAAAGAGGAGTATCTCTTCTTTCTTGTTTTGATGTTCACATATTTTTAAACCAAGCGTTTTAAATCCAGGAACAATCTGCATTGTAATGGATCATTGGTCCTGGAGGATTTAGGATGAACTTTGGCAAAACTGAAAGATAATTTCTGAGTGACTTGTGACCAAAAAAGTATTAGAGCATAGTAAGCCAGCGGAAGCATGTGTCCGTTAAGAAAGAAAGAGTCACTCAAATTAATCTTTAATTAATTCATGGCTTTAAAGATCCTGAGTGAATACTTTCTAAAATAGTACTTAAATAAACTAATGTCTCTAGTCACAGGAAGTTCAAGGTGATGGTGAAGTCACATTAGTCTTTGTTCAGAGACTTATGTGACAGATATAAAAATATTTTCATGAATAATTATGTTTAATCAAATTAAACTCAGTCATGTAGCAACATATTTGCAGTCTGCTGCTCTGTTGTGCAACAGTACAACTGTTTCTTTGGACCTATGGTAAGTGTATAAATGTGTGTCTTCTAAATTATGTATTTGGCTCCAGCCTGTGTATGAAAATAAATATATAGTTGCCTTTTTTTTAATATGTACAAATAATTTTTTTTTCTCTTTTTTCTCATTTCTTAATACATTTGTCTCTGCCTCGCCCCCACCACTTTCCTTTGCCCCTTCCCTCCTTCCCTCCCTCAGCTCTTCCCCTTTGGTTTTGTCCATGAGTCCTTGCTGTATGTTCTTTGACTTTCCCCTTCCCTTCCTCTTCCCCGCCCCCCATCAGTTGCTTTTTAATTAGAATTTTGTTAGATAGGTAACTCTAAATAGGTAACCAAAGAATTTCTGTTCCTTTTTTCAAGATCTCTCTTGGAAATATTCCTGGCCTCATCTTATTATTCAAAACATATTCCCTTTTTCACGTTTTATTTTATTTTCCAAAAAAAAAAACCAAAAAACAAACAAACAACCTGGCTGTATACAAGTTTTCTCTGTAAACTAGATCCAATGCTTTTAAAAATATAAAATGTAAATGAAACATATTTGTTAGTTGATAAATCATGTTATATTTATTTCTTCATTTAATATGCAAAATAACTCTAAGACATAGGAAGAAAAGAATATCCTAGTTTTTTAAACAAAAAAAGAAAAATAGAAGGGTAGAATTAGTACTAAGATCATTATCAAACATGTTTAATATAGTTTATTTTTTCTTTTTCAATGTATTGTTGTTCAGTTACACTTGTCCTGCCTTTTCCCCCGCTGCTCACCCCAACCCCGTCCCCTGACTCCCACAGTCAGTCCCCGCACTGTCCGTGCCCATGAGTCCTCTCTTCGTGTTCCTTTGCTTGCCTCTTCTCTCCTCCGTTATCCCCCTTCCCTTGTCCCCTCTGATCACTGTCAGCTGGTTCTTTATTTCCATGTCTCTGGTTCTATTTTGCTCATCTGTTTGTTTTGTTGATTAGGTTCCACTTGTAGGTGAGATCCTATGGTATTTATCTTTCACCTCCTGGCTTAGTTCACTTAGCAGAATGCTCTCTGGTTCCATCACTGCTGTCACAAAGGGTAGGAGTTCCTTCTTCTTTCAAGTTTGCTTTTTAAAAATTATTCATAGCGTACTAGTAAGAATTTGTTACTTAAAAAATAAAGAAGGACTCTAGGAAATAAAGTCTATTTAAAATATGAAAGTTATATGTTCATCACCCAAAAGCTAGTACAAATACCTTAAATAACAACTTTATGTTTTTTGGGAAAATGGTAATTGTTCTCTGAAATGGAAATCAAAAGACCTCAGTTTCAGATTTGACCTTGCTCCCTGTGAATAGCATGGCCTTGGGAGAAATTTTGTTAACTTTCAGGGCTTTATTTTCATCTGGGAAGTAGTAAGGTTAAAATAAATAGCTGCCTTTTGTCCCCATTAGTGGTAGATCTAGGTTTGGAGGGGCATAAGGCTTATATAATTTTGGGAACTGACTATAGGAACAAATACAAAATTATAATTACCAGCTACCTGCAGTTTTGTTGACAGCAGCATAGAGAAGGGAAGGAAGAGCGAGCGCCAAGTCCCAGGCTGAGATGAATCGGGAATCGTCTCGTAGAAGATTGGGAGAGTAAT